GACCCGCACGGGGCTCGGGGCCTGCGCGCAGAGGCGGCCCCGGCCAGCCTCGGGCAGGCCCTCGCAGTATCTTGTGGTCGAAGAGGGAGAGGAGCACATATGGGCGCAAAGGCCCGGAGCTCCGCGCGGATGTTCTGGATCGGCGCTATATAGGCCCCCCGTGGTGCGCTCCGCGCGCCGGGGAGGAGGCTCCAGCGCCGAGCCAAGCCACCTGCGCGGAATTCTGGAACTTTCTGTTCACGTGGGTTCATCCAGGACCGACGGGGCTCGGGGCTTGCGCGCAGAGGCAGTCCTGGCTGGCCTTAACGGGGCCCCTGGGTCACGGTAGCGGGAACCGTTTTCATGGACATCCCTTTTTCCCCTCGAGTTCAAAGCTGGCACGCGCAGATGCGGTTGTGGTCGAAGTGCAACTCATCAGACCCACCGCCAATTATGTGAACATTGGGGGGAAGGGGAGGCGTTGACCGATGAATGTGGAATGAGTGTTCGCTATTTTTTCCGAGGCCTGTATGCTTGTGTATGTACGCCCGCACCGATGCGCAGAGGAGGGCGAGTCGAGGCAACGGTGCAGAGGAGGAGAAGGTACCCGTAGCGCTACCCTTCCTTCGCTTTCCCCCCCTCTGGGCCTTCTGCGAGGCCCTCGTCGCCACCGCTGGGTTCGCTTCGAAATCCTGGCCAGAACGCACACCGGGAGAAGTCCGGGGATGGGCCAACTTTCCACCACCGCTATCACAGGAATTGCAGGGGAGAAAGGAGGATGCTCCTCCTCCTCCTCCTCCTCCTCCTTCGCCTCCTCCTCCTCCTCCTCCTCCTCCTCCTCCTTCGCCTCCTCCTCCTTCGCCTCCTCCTCCTCCTCCTCCTCTCCTCCTCCTCCTCCTCCTCCTCCTCCTCCTCCTCCTCCTCCCCTCCTCCTCCTCCTCCTCCTCCCCCTCCTCCTCCTCCCCCTCCCCTCCTCCTCCTCCTCCTCCTCCTCCCCCTTCCTCCTCTCCTCCTCCTCCTCCTCCTCCTCCTCCTCCTCCTCCTCCTCCTCCTCCTCCTCCTCCTCCTCCTCCTCTCAAGCCATCTGGGCCGAGACCCCATTTTGGTGGTCCCAGGGGACCCAGACCTCGGTGCTTCCACGGAGCGCTTGGGGGGCGCCGCAGCGACGACTGTCCTTCTAGAGTTGTTCTTTGCGGCGGCGAAAGCCGAGGATGTCACGATTATTTTCGAAATGCGGAGGATGTGGCACTTCCGAGTGCAACGACGTATTATCACGTGCTGATCGCAAATGCAGGGTTTGTTGCAGACACGTTCGCCTTTTTGTGCCCAGGAGAGCCCGTTCCAGATCGGCGTTTCCAGGGGGTCCACCATGGCGTGTTTGTTTCGAGACCAATCCTGAGAAGGATCTAGCCAAGAGAGCCTCCAGCCCGAAGCCGATTCTGAAGAGTTCTCAGGCCTCCCAGTCCACCGTCGAGGGCCAGGATTTTGTACCCACATTGAAGGCCGCTATTGCTCAGACGTCCGATGTGCAGATGAAGACGGTCCTGTCCGCGGAGTTGGCCAAGGCTCAGGCGATGCAGTCCCCACAGCAGGTTGCGTCGCCAGCCGACGAGGTTCGGCGCACGGACGCAGCATGGCGGGATGCTGAGGTGAAGCACGATCAGGCGGTCAAGGCAGTTCAGCGACTGCGTGATCAGTTGGCGCAGGCTGAGGCCAAAGAGCATCTAGCGCCCAGGACGCTTGCGCAGGCCACCATCGCCAAGTCGCAGGCCGCGCAGACCCTCGCCAAGGCGGAGGGCGTGTTTACCGATTCCGAAGGCGCCGACGGTGACGGCAAGGGCCCCAAGTCCCTGTTCCACCTGTCGTGGGATCAGGAGCTCTTCACCAATATCGACCAGTTAGAGTGCGAGCAGAGCGAGAAGGAAACCTTGGCGCAGCTAGAGAAGGACCTAGTTAGCACCAAGGACACACTGAAGTCCAAGGAGGAGGAGGTGCAAGCCTGGCTTCGGCGCGCAGCCGAGCTCAAGGCGTCCATCAAGGAGAAGCTTGCCAAGAAGAGGAGGAACAATGATAATCAGGCTCTCCCAGGAGGTGATGGTCAAGCCCCAGCCGCTGCAGGTCAAGCTGCGGCGTCGACGGCCACCGCCGCCACGGCGAGTGAGGAGCCTTCGGCGGAGCAGAAGGCATCGCAGGTTGCCGCGGAGGAGCAGCGCGCGAGCAGGGTGCAGGCTGAGGCTGAGCGCTTGTCCCGCGCAAAGTTCGCGGCGCTGAACGCCAACCAGCAGATGCGAGAGGGCAAGGGCAAGAATGGGTCCACCGCGGGGGCGACGATCGGCAAGGGCATGGGCAGCCAGCCTCAGCCCCAGGTGTGACCCACGCGTCAGTCCCTTTTCGTCGCCCATTACGTCGGCCAGCACGACGGCGAGCACAGCGGCTACATCTAGCAGGCCCTCCCCCCCCTCTCCACCTTCGGGTTCGAGTGCGAGCTGGGCTCCCCGGGGTGCATCCGAAGAGCCATCATCAGATCAGTTGGGCACGAGCGATCACAGCGCCCCCAGCTTCACCGACCTAGTCGTTGGTAATATCACGCGCATGGGTACCAAGGTCTGGCAGTACGTCGCCGAGCAGAGGCAGTCCACCCAGTACTTCGGTTTCGTCGAGACCCACGCTGTTCGGCAGTGGGATGACAAGGCGGGGAAACTTGGGATGAAGCTCTTTTGCAACCCAGCTAGGCCGAAGGATAAACATTTCGGAGAGCTGTCCATGGGGCATGGCAACGAAGGGGGCGAGTGGATCTTCACCCACGGGCATCTTCGAGCTCATTCCCTTGGGGCAGCCTGTACTCCTATGTTGCAGCACGGATCGACCAGTTCGAATGACGGTTTCTGTGCGATTACCATTCACATGAAAGGGTATTCGTTTGTTCCCATCACGTTCTGCGGATATTTAGGCATTGGATTCACGGGTCCCAATGTTACTCGCTATCGCCATTCGGGGGCGCTACTTCGAGCGCTGCTACTTCCGTGGATAGTGGTGGCCGACTTCAACATCAGTGCGGCGGCGGTCAGTATGGCAGGTTTTACTGATCGGGTCGGAGGGCACATTCTCACGGCCAACGTGGACTACACGTGCAATGCAGGGAAGGTTGGGTTGCACATCGACTTCGTGATGCGCAGTACTTCCGCACTGAGTTACGCGGTGTCTGTGGAGCCCGAGTTGACAGTGCCTTGGAAGACCCACATCGGCTTGCGAGTGCGACTGCGTGACCATGGGCGGCAGCTGCTCACGCGGCCGCTTTCTCTAGCGGCACGTCTACCTCAGGCGCCGCAACCTGGGGGGGGGGGGGGGGGGCGACCCCAGAGCCCATGTCCAGTCGAGCACGCGCCGCTCGGCTGTTGGCTGCCCAGGAGAGCGCGATCAAACGGGACGAGGTGTACACCAGGCTCGATGGGGATGTCCTGGAGGCCATCGACCTTCAGAAGAGCAAGGGAGCCCAGCAGGAGCCCGAGGAGCACCTTTCTGAGCGCCCTGAGCCCCAGCCTGCGGTGCAAGCTGCCTCTGACAGGTTTCACGATGACCTGTCAATCTGTTCCGAGGAGGACCCTTGGGCAGACCAGTTGATCTTTGGCATGGAAGGGGGGCCCGAGGGGCAAGAGGCCCCCCTTCCCAGCGATGTTGCCAATTCTAACTGCAGCAGTATTATGTTTTTGGGGTCAGTGCAGTTGCCCCCCCCCCCCCCCCCCCCCATCGGAGGAAGGCGGTGGTCCTGGCGCTGCTTGCGGGTCTTTGCGGATGACTGGCGACGCTCCTGGCGGGCCCACTGTCGAGAGTCGCCCCTGCGGCACCTCCGCTCAGCGCGGCAGCGGCGCTGGTCCTCCTGAGGCGTCGACCCAGCCCCCAAGCCCCGATGGGGGCCCTAGCGTCAGTTATACGATCCCCCCCAGGTCTGTGGGATAGGCAGAGACAAGCTGTAGGATTTTCCCTCTCTCCCTCCCAACCTCTTCCTGCCTACATCAGGGGCTCCAGAGCCTTCAAAGTCAACCCTGAACGTGCGTTACTGGTCAGTGGGATGTACGCTTCTCGGGTGTCTACAGTGCAGGATACTATCCGAGCTCACCGCGTATCCGAGGAAGCCTCTCGAGGACCCCAGCGTGTCATAGCTCCAGTATTTACAGTGCAGGGGGTCAGAGTCTCGGAGCAGCACCGAGCAGCTCCTCTGCGCGATCAGGTGGCTAGCTGGTGGGTAAGGGCCCACTCGCTTCCCACTTCACTGCGCAAACATCGTGCTCGAGGCAACGGACCTGTGCAGCAGCAGAGATTGGAAAGAGAATGCCGACGCCTTATTGAAGACAGGCCCGATCAGGTTCACGTGTCAGTGTCGAACTGCCTGGTTCCCCCCTGGTCTGAATGGCTCGCCTTCTTATCGTCCATTGGAAGCTGCTCGATCGTCCAGCTCGACACCTTCGCTCAGCTTCCGGATAAGGTCGCCGGGTCTAGTCAACGTAAAGCCCTGCATCAGTCGCTTCGAGAGTTCCAGGACTGGGCCGTCGAGGGATCCTCTTTGGGCGCGCTCCACAGGGCCATGAGGCAAGATCCTGTACCCAGTTTGGAAATATGCGATGGATCGGCCACTCTCTACCATCCGAAGGATATAGTTGATTTCAAGTCAGACAAGTGGCAGCGCAAGTGAGCCCCGCCCATCTCCGACCCCGACGAGGCGCTTGGGAATGTTCTCGAGACTATTCGGCAGGCTGTCAGAGATGTTCCGGATCCCCTTCCTGAGTGAGGTGTGGAGGATGTGAGGCGGGCCCTGAGATCCATGAAGCCTCGCGCGGGGATGGGGGTGGACCGTTTCACGCCGTGCGATATTGAAAGGCTGCCCGATGCTGGGGTAGCCGAGTTATGCACGCTGTTCGCCGCGATAGAGCACCTGTTGGTCTGGCCCGTGCAGACCATGCTCGTCCTCGGCCGCCTCCTCCCAGAAAAGTTGAATGGGGACCGCGTGATAGGCCTCATGTCGA